CGCCTCCGGGGAGGAGGAGGAGGCGGAGGAGGAGGAGGCGTCGGCGGCGTCGGCGAGGCCTCTTCCCCCCTCCCCGGCTGGCCTGCCGGCTCCGGGGAGGAGGCAGCGGCGGCAGCGAGGCCTCTCCTCCCCGCCCGCCCTACCTACCTCCTACACATTCTCCCTCCCCCCTTAGGAATGCAATGGCAAATGAAAGTAGTGATAAGGATACAGAATACAAGCAGAGTAAAGCATAAAGCAAGCACAGACAATTCAGCAAGACAGGTGCTCAAGTTTGACACCTCCCCGCCACAGTTGAAACAGTGAGCAAACTCGAGGCCCCATGCACGTCTTCTTGTCAGGTCTTGGATTATTTCAGTTCACCCAGTCTAGAGGAAGTTGAAAAACTGCTCTTAACTGTATGCCCTACCACGTGCCTTCTTAATCCATGCCCATCGTGGCTATTAAAGCGGTTCATGAGGGGTCTGAGGTGCCCTAAGGGAGATCATTAACAAGTCTCTCTCTGAGGGCTTGTTCCCTGGGACACCTAAGGAGGCCGTGGTTCGTCCCCTCTTGAAAAAAACCATCAGTGGATTCAGACGAATTGGCTAACTAGCAGCCGGTTTCTAACTTGCCCTATTTGGGAAAGCTAGAGAAGGGAGCACTCACTGGAGAAGACCCTGATGCTGGGAAAGATTGAAGGTCAAAGAAGATGGGGACGGCAAGGGATGAGATGGTTGGACAGTGTCATAGATGCAACAAACATGAAATTGAGCAAGCTTCAGAAGACGGCGGAAGACAGGAGGGCCTGGTGAGATCTTGTCCATGGGGTCGCGAAGAATCAGACTCAACTGTGCGACTGAACAACAAAAAATGGAGAGGATTGTAGCAGATCAGTTACAGAGCTTTTTGGATGACGCTTCCATCTTAGATCTCTTCCAGTCTGGCTCCTGCCTGGGACATGGGATGGAGAGGCCTATTCTCACCACGCTTAAGGCATCAGAACATCTATACTTCATCTAGCCACCAGCTCATTCCAGGCAAACTCACAGCACAGAACCCTCATTGCATTCCATATGGCTTAAAAAAAAGAGAAAGCTCCAGAAAACAGAAAACAGTGTGGTCTCTTCCAAGAACTGCAGGGTGTCCAATCAATTTCACCGTTCCCTAGGAGTTTTGTTGCATGCTAGTCAATCTCACTCCTGGACCTAGGTTGCATTAAGAAAGGGTTCAGACGAAATTACAATGGAAATCAAGAGAGGGTATTTTTCCATGGGTTTCGGGACTGGATCAAATCTTTTCTAGTGCCATATATGTATCTTTCCTTCCCTTGCACAAAAGAGAGCTACACAATTCATAGGGATTTGAACATTCCAGAGTCCTCAGGGAAGTGGGAGCGGATAGCAGTGGAAGAAGAGCTATTCATGGTGTGGGGTCTGATTGGTTTCCTAGGCCTTGGCCTCTGGTTACTCCACTTGCCAGTCCTGTAGCAGCCTGCACTTGGGATATTTAAAGGTAATTTAATGCTGAATGAGCAGGCTTGCCTCCTGCCAAAATAGCCGCAGCATCATCGAATAAACCAACAGCAAAAGCGAACACCCCTATCTTTGCTTTGCAAACAGCAGCCATAAAAATAACCTTCTAGTCATAAAATATAGATGGTTCAGTACATTGTAGAGGGAGGGGGACTTCAAAAAGTCCAGTCGAAGAATAATGTTTGTTTGTGCCTTAAGACTCTCTTTGTTTAGCTTAGAAGCAGCAGTGTAAGACTTATAGCAATGCTTTCTTCACTAAATGATATCGGAGTCTTGGATCAAGACTATGAACCATCATTTTGAAACCAGGTTCTTTAATCAGCCCCTAAATTCATGCCAGGTTCATTTATTGCTCTGTTTGGTTGGGTTGTTTGGAAGACTCAACTATTCTTTCTTAGACAATGAATTCTGTTGTGTATTAAAATGAGCTTCACATAGACACCAGTCCAGGAATCATGGCTGATTAAAAAGGCACTTAGGTAAATAAATACCAATTAGTGGAACATCCTGACAGAGATTATAATCTCCTAACATGAAAGGAGATGGCAGGTTTTAATTATGTTACACCTGTCATGAAAAGGACAGACCTTTGCCTAGGGGAAATGCCAACTTTTTTTTCTTCTGGTTGGAGTCAGGAAATTATGCAGCACCTCCATGTTCCAACAAGCCTTGGGGAGACATTCCGCTGTGCGCCATGAAGTTACTTCTGATTTATGGCAACCCTGTGA